GTCGACTCAAATGTCGCCCAAAGGATGAGTGTTTGTGTGAGTCGACTCAAATGTCGCCCAAAGGATGAGTGTTTGTGTGAGTCGACTCAAATGTCGCCCAAAAGATGAGTGTTTGTGTGAGTCGACTCAAATGTCGCCCAAAGGATGAGTGTTTGTGTAAGTCGACTCAAATGTCGCCCAAAGGATGGGTGTTTTTCTGAGTCGACTCAAATGTCGCCCAAAGGATGAGTGTTTGTGTGAGTCGACTCAAATGTCGCCCAAAAGATGAGTGTTTGTGTGAGTCGACTCAAATGTCGCCTAAAAGATGAGTGTTTGTGTGAGTCGACTCAAATGTCGCCCAAAAGATGAGTGTTTGTGTGAGTCGACTCAAATGTCGCCCAAAGGATGAGTGTTTGTGTGAGTTGACTCAAATGTCGCCCAAAGGATGAGTGTTTGTGTGAGTCGACTCAAATGTCGCCCAAAGGATGAGTGTTTGTGTGAGTCGACTCAAATGTCGCCTAAAAGATGAGTGTTTGTGTGAGTCGACTCAAATGTCGCCCAAAGGATGAGTGTTTGTGTGAGTCGACTCAAATGTCGCCCAAAGGATGAGTGTTTGTGTGAGTCGACTCAAATGTCGCCCAAAAGATGAGTGTTTGTGTAAGTCGACTCAAATGTCGCCTAAAAGATGAGTGTTTGTGTGAGTCGACTCAAATGTCGCCCAAAAGATGAGTGTTTGTGTGAGTCGACTCAAATGTCGCCTAAATGATGAGTGTTTGTGTGAGTCGACTCAAATGTCGCCCAAAGGATTATTGTTTTTGTGAGTCGACTCAAATGTCGCCCAAAGGATGAGTGCTTGTGTGAGTCGACTCAAATGTCGCCCAAAGGATGAGTGTTTGTGTGAGTCGACTCAAATGTTGCCCAAAGGATGAGTGTTTGTGTGAGTCGACTCAAATGTCGCCCAAAGGATGAGTGTTTGTGTGAGTCGACTCAAATGTCGCCCAAAGGATAAGTGTTTGTGTGAGTCGACTCAAATGTCGCCCAAAGGATGAACGTTTGTGTGAGTCGACTCAAATGTCGCCCAAAGGATGAGTGTTTGTGTGAGTCGACTCAAATGTCGCCCAAAGGATGAGTGTTTGTGTGAGTCGACTCAAATGTCGCCCAAAAGATGAGTGTTTGTGTGAGTCGACTCAAATGTCGCCCAAAGGATGAGTGTTTGTGTAAGTCGACTCAAATGTCGCCCAAAGGATGAGTGTTTGTGTGAGTCGACTCAAATGTCGCCCAAAGGATGAGTGTTTGTGTGAGTCAACTCAAATGTCGCCCAAAAGATGAGTGTTTGTGTGAGTCAACTCAAATGTCGCCTAAAAGATGAGTGTTTGTGTGAGTCGACTCAAATGTCGCCCAAAAGATGAGTGTTTGTGTGAGTCGACTCAAATGTCGCCCAAAGGATGAGTGTTTGTGTGAGTCGACTCAAATGTCGCCCAAAGGATGAGTGTTTGTGTGAGTCGACTCAAATGTCGCCCAAAAGATGAGTGTTTGTGTGAGTCGACTCAAATGTCGCCTAAAAGATGAGTGTTTGTGTGAGTCGACTCAAATGTCGAGTGTTTGTGTGAGTCGACTCAAATGTCGCCCAAAGGATGAGTGTTTGTGTGAGTCGACTCAAATGTCGCCCAAAAGATGAGTGTTTGTGTGAGTCGACTCAAATGTCGCCCAAAAGATGAGTGTTTGTGTGAGTCGACTCAAATGTCGCCCAAAGGATGAGTGTTTGTGTGAGTCGACTCAAATGTCGCCCAAAGGATGAGTGTTTGTGTGAGTCGACTCAAATGTCGCCCAAAAGATGAGTGTTTGTATGAGTCGACTCAAATGTCGCCTAAAAGATGAGTGTTTGTGTGAGTCGACTCAAATGTCGCCCAAAGGATGAGTGTTTATGTGAGTCGACTCAAATGTCCCCCTAGGAATGAGTTTTTTTCTTAGTCGGCTCAAATGTCGCCCAAAGGATGAGTGTTTTTGTGAGTCGACTCAAATGTCGCCCAAACGATGAGTGTTTGTGTGAGTCGACTCAAATGTCGCCCAAAGGATGAGTGTTTGTGTGAGTCGACTCAAATGTCGCCCAAAGGATGAGTGTTTGTGTGAGTCGACTCAAATGTCGCCCAAAAGATGAGTGTTTGTGTGAGTCGACTCAAATGTCGCCTAAAAGATGAGTGTTTGTGTGAGTCGACTCAAATGTCGAGTGTTTGTGTGAGTCGACTCAAATGTCGCCCAAAAGATGAGTGTTTGTGTGAGTCGACTCAAATGTCGCCCAAAAGATGAGTGTTTGTGTGAGTCGACTCAAATGTCGCCCAAAGGATGAGTGTTTGTGTGAGTCGACTCAAATGTCGCCCAAAGGATGAGTGTTTGTGTGAGTCGACTCAAATGTCGCCCAAAAGATGAGTGTTTGTATGAGTCGACTCAAATGTCGCCTAAAAGATGAGTGTTTGTGTGAGTCGACTCAAATGTCGCCCAAAGGATGAGTGTTTATGTGAGTCGACTCAAATGTCCCCCTAGGAATGAGTTTTTTTCTTAGTCGGCTCAAATGTCGCCCAAAGGATGAGTGTTTTTGTGAGTCGACTCAAATGTCGCCCAAACGATGAGTGTTTGTGTGAGTCGACTCAAATGTCGCCCAAAGGATGAGTGTTTGTGTGAGTCGACTCAAATGTCGCCCAAAGGATAAGTGTTTGTGTGAGTCGACTCAAATGTCTGAGGAGATTAACTCTACAACGGTGGGAGCTAGACTACTAGGTAGGCATGAGTTGTAGGAGTGATCGTAGCTCTGTCTGTGTTCTCTAGGACTTGTGTTTTCACAAGGCAAAATAGCAAGAGTTACACTAAGGAAAGTTGAGAATAACAGAGTTACGAATGAACATGCAATGACAAAGCTTGACTACATCACATGCAAGGTTTGCTAGCACTCAGGCAGGTCGATCGCCAGCACGACAAAGTTGACGACCTGCCAACGCAGCATCTCCACGGCCCGCCAACGCAGCTGGTGTGCGACTTGCCAACGCTGCAGAATGGCGGCCTGCCAACGCTGCATCCGCGCGGCTTGCCAATGCAGCATCCGTGCGGCTTGCCAACACTGCACCCGCAGGTGATTGTAAGCGCATGTGCAAGCACCTACATCGCAGGTGCTTGTAGACAGTTATGCACGACGTGCACTGTCTAGTACATTGCGCAGGTTGTCAGCCACATGCTGACGGTTGCACATGATGAGCCACGTCGACCACGTGCTGCCACGTCGGTCGACTTCGCCACAGCAGCCTCGACGACGTTCGCACACCTTCGTACCTCGTCGAGCAGGTAACTTGGTCAACCAGGTAAGGTACCTGGAGGATGACATCTCTGCAGGATGACGACCTTCGTCATCACCGGTTGACGACCTTCGTCGTCGCGGGTTGACGACCTTCGTCGTCGGGGCTCGACGACCTTCGCCGAGCACCTTCGTCGAGCACCTCGGTCGACATTTCAAAATGTCAGCCCCTGATTGGTCGAAATTAGGGCACATTCGAATTTCTGGCCAAAATTCGCTTGTGCAGTCTCAATGTTGCGCAGAGTCAAACGCGACCCTGCGCAGACGGACACCCGCGAACTTCTGCACCGGCTGCGCCACTCTGGTCGACGAACTGCTTCGTCGACCATCCTCGTTGAACTCCTTCGTCGAACTCCTTTGTCGACGAAGTCACAGTGGTTCCGCGCAGGTCGACGACCACCTTCGTCGACCTCTGCGGAAGGTCGGCTGCACCTCCCACACACCCGAACACAAGTCAATTTGCCCATGCGAGGGCGGGGCCAATTTCCTTCAACACTCCCCTGCCGCGCTCACGCTTGGGCACCCCACACACCAGGTCCACCCAGAACCCAAGGGCTATAATACACGGGAAAAATGCTTCGGCGTGCACACAACACACAGCACGTCGATCACCGCACCAGCCGTGCATAAGGGCACGGCACCTACTGCTGCACATCATCGTCACCGTCGCCAACGTCTGCCAGACGAACTTGGCCGATCGCGACGGAGCACCGGTTGAAGGCCGGAAAGTGCAGCCCCTTTGTCAGGAAGTCAGCTGGCTGCTCAGAGGTGGGAATGTACTTCAGCGCAATCTTTACAATGTGCCACATATACTAGCTAGTCTAAAATGGAACATACATTATAACATGTAGTATTTCTAGTAAATGCAGATCCGCCATTGAGTGGTTGTGTTGTTGCAATTTATTACATCGTATGTCATCATTGCACCGTCGGATCTTTGCGCCGTTGCGTTGTTGCCTCGTTGCGTCGTTGCGTCGCTGCGCCGCTCAATCATTACGCCGCTCGATCGTTGCGCCATTGCGTTGTAGCGATTTAACATATCCATAAGCTAGCTAAATCTACTAGGTTATCATTTTTTTTTTCATCTTTAGATTAGTTTCTCTTTTTATTATTAAGAGAAACTAATCTACTTGTACCCCAACCATCATCAATGAACCAACACTTCCGATTCTGACATGGTATCACCTAGGTTAGGATCCTGTAGGATCCCGTTCCTCCCGACTGCTGCGATCAGAAGTTGATCGTAGCGCAGGATCTACCCGGGAAGGTTCGCACGCAGTAAGATAGTTTGGTGGGCCCTTGACCTCAATAGCAGAGTGAATGTAAAATGCTTTGAAATGAAATAAAACATGCAAACACAAGAAATATAAATATGAGTACAAGGGAATACGAAATGACCTAACTAGCCATGTACCCTAAGGGGTACATTCCCTTATTCAAATTCATTCCCAACTGTGCGGCGCGTACAGTTTCGTAACTGTTCCCGCCAAAACCATTCTGCCTGCAGCTGCCCGATGTCGTCTGCTTCCGACGGTCCAGATGTGCTGTAACCGTCTGACTCTTCGGTTCGATTCCAACTGTCTGACGCTTCACATTCATTCTCGATATTGCCTGCTTCCCTTTGCTGCGGTGAGGAGTGCACAGTAATATCAAATATTACTATTCGTAACACCCCCCTTCACTCCTGGCCGTAGCTCGACTTGACCTGCTTGACCACGCCGCTGAGTTCGGAGGAGTGCTGATACTGCTGGCGTGGTAGTCGCTTCGTGAGGAAGTCTGCTGCCACGTCACCCGTCGGGCAGTAGGTCAAGTTGACCTTGCCCTTGTCCACCTCGTCCTTCACGAAGAAGTACCGCAGCGCGATGTGCTTGGTGCGGTTGACGAAACCAGGTTTGTTCGCGATGCGAATCGCGCTCTGGTTGTCGCAGTGAAGGTGGAATGTGGGCGAAGTTGGAATTTTCGCCTCTTGCGGAAGCTCCTGCAGGTAGAGGCCCTCGCGAACGACTGCAGGTGCTGCTTCGGTTTCCGCGGCTTCTTCCTCTTCCCCCCTTCGTTCTTTGCGGGAAGTGCCCCAGCCGCTATTGCCGGCTCCAGATGCGGTGCCCCATCCGCCGCTCGCGTTGGCCCAGGTTCCGGCGTTGTCTCCCCATCCGCCGGTGTCGCTTGTTCCCCATCCTCCAGCGCTTCCCCACCCCCCTTCTTGGAGGCGCTTGCTTCCTCCTCGGCTCCCCAGGCGGCGCAAACGAAGGTCCCGCGTGCTTCCGCGAGGCTTTGCTGGCGAAGCACCTCAGCTTCGCGGCGCGCCAGTTCTTCTTCTTGCTCCACGGTAAGCTTCTTCTTCGGGTCGCGCTGAGTCGAGTAGTCCTCCAGGAACTTCTCGTAGGTGTAGGGGCGCGGCTCCCCAAGTGCATCGAAGGTCCCGACCCCTGTTCCGCGCAGCATGCCTTGCAGGTGCTGTGAGGGGGGACCGATGAGGGGATGTTCCTTCGTGCCGAAAACACCGTGGGTAGCAATTTCAAGTTCGAGCTGCGACATGCCTTCCTCAGGCGGCGCGTTGTGCTCTGCTTCAGCGATGGCGGCGAGTCCGCGGCCTGCGATCGCGCTCGTTGAGGTTGTCGGCGTGTGACAATCCCTGCAGATTCCATCGGGATTGGGGTTGTGAAGCGCCGTTTCGCGTGGGTGGGGATGATGTGGCACCCACGGCCTGCCGTCAGGGTGCTTCCAATCCCTGCGGTGGATGTGCTCAAAGCGCAGTGGCACGAGGTCAATGAGCTCGTGCGAGTCGCCGCTGCAGTCGGGAATATCGAAGTCCAGGACGTACACCCCATTTTCGGAGTGTGCTCGTCCGATCTGCCTGCGGGGGAAGTTGCGCGCCTCATAGTGCAGCAGGATATCTCGCGTCGCGCGGTCGGTGCTGAGGTCGACGCCGCAATCCATGAGCTGTGCGGCGGACAGGAGGTTGAAGCACAGGTTCTGGACGATCAGCACATCGTTGAGCGTGATATGCGTGCGGCTCCCGCGTGCTTTGAGCACGACGATGCCTTGCGCGCTTGCGCGCAGGTGCGTGTTGTTCGCCACAGTGACATAAGTGACGGTAGGAGTGGGGATGGCGTTGGATATGTAACGCTCGGAGCCCACCATATGCTGGCCGCAGCAGCTGTCCAGGTACCAGGTGTTGTAGCGCTTGTTGTCGTCACGGGCGAGCAGCGCCAGTCGCGGCGTGACGATGTGCGGAGTGTCGAACTTCAAAAATTGCTCGCGCGAGAGCCAATCGAGTGGCGCCACCCGCATATCAGGTACGTGCGGGAGACTTTCAAGCAGTGGGACTGGAAGATTCCAGTCTTGGTCGTCGTCGTCGGTGAAATCGTGGCGCGGACTGAACGGATTGTTGTTGGTGAATGCGCCAATGGGGTGAGGTGCCGGCTCAGGTGAAGGCGAGCGGACGCGGCGACGACGCGATTCGCCTGCCATGGTCATGTTGCTCATGACATTGCGAACTGGGGCAGTCGATGACGGCTGCTGCTGCTGATGCTGAACCGCTGGGTTCAGATTGCGCGCGGGAGGGGGCTGATACCCCTGGGCTGGACGCACGTCGCCTCGTGCATCTTGACGGCCGGACCAGGTGCTCGGATTGGTCTGGCGAGGGCGGGATCGGTTCTTGCATCGATCCGCCAGATGCCCGAAATTTCTGCAGATTTTGCAGTAGAGGCGCCGTGGTTTTTGCTCTTCAGTGTTGTCGGCGTAGAAGGCGAGCCGTTCTCGTTCTCGTCGTGGCGCTGGTCGCTGCTGATCCATATCCCTCTGTTCGACGAGAAGGGCGGCGCAAAGGGCGGCCTCCGAGATGACCCCCTGCTGTCGGAGAAGCGCCTTGCAGGGCCGCCACTCTGGGCCGAGCCCTTGAAGCACGATGTTGACGAAGATTTCCTCTGAAATCGTGCTTCCCAGCTTCACGATTTGGTCGTGAAGGCTCCGACAGCGATTGAGATAGTTGTTGACCTTCTCCCCCGCTATCATCTTGGTTTCCAGGAGTTCCTGGAGTAGTCGTCTCGAAGAGACAGAGTCCTTGGGCTGATAGACTCCTGTCAGGTGCCGCCAAGCGTTAAGGGCTGGAGCAGCCGAAGTTTTGTAAGAACGAATGTTGAGCTGCTCTGCCGGCGACATATTCCGCAGGAGCACCCCGTACGCCATCAACGATTCGTCGTAATACCTCGCTTTGGCGTCGTCGGTGTCCTCAGCGGGCTCCGCGTAGCTCCCGTCAAAATAATGGAAAATTCGGGCGTTCTGCAACAGGAGCTCCAACTCGAAGCTCCAGGTATAAAAATCTCTGCCGTCAAAACAGGTACTTGTCTTTATTTTTGATATGCTGAGTAACCTTGATAGGGCGGAGAGAACTGCCTCTTCACTGGGACGGGGAGTCTTAGGGGTTGAGCCATTGGTGTCGAGGGAGAATGTTTGCGAGGTGGCGTTCTGGCCAGTCGGGGCCGGTTGAGAGGGTTGTGAGGATGTTCCCGCGTCGCCATTCCGCAATGTTCGGAGCCCTTGCTCCAAGCTGGTGAGTCGCTGAAGAAGTTGTGCGGGAACTTCGGAGCCGATTGTCGTCGTGTTCTCGCTTGTCGCAGCCGGGTTTGGTTGCGCTTCAGCCGTCAGATTGGTCTGACCACCAGATCCTCCGGCCATCTTCACTCGTGAGCATGTGCCGGACGCCACTTTCCGAATGTCGCAATTTTCGGGAGTGGCAGTGCGAAGGATTCCCGAGCCGCTCTCATACCATGCTACGATCAGAAGTTGATCATAGCCCAGGATCTACCCGGGAAGGTTCGCACGCAGTGAGATAGTTTGGTGGGCCCTTGACCTCAATAGCAGAGTGAATGTAAAATGCTTTGAGATGAAATAAAACATGCAAATACAAGAAATATAAATATGAGTACAAGGGAATACGAAACGACCTAATTAGCCATGTACTCTAAGGGGTACATTCCTTTATTCAAATTCATTCCCAACCGTGCGGCGCGTACAGTTTCGTAACTGTTCCCGCCAAAACCATTCTGCCTGCAGCTGCCCGATGCCGTCTCCTTCCGACGGTCCAGATGTGCTGTAACCGTCTGACTCTTCGGTTTGATTCCAACTGTCGGTCGCTTCACGTTCATTCTCGACATTGCCTGCTTCCCTTTGCTGCGGTGAGGAGTGCACAGTAATATCAAATATTACGATTCGTAACACCGACCTCGTTGCGTCGCTGCGCCGCTCAATCATTACGCCGCTCGATCGTTGCGCCATTGCGTTGTAGCGATTTAACATATCCATAAGCTAGCTAAATCTACTAGGTTATCAATTTTATTTTTCCTCTTTAGATTAGCTTCTCTTAGTATTATTATGTTTTTCTTTGATCTGATTGAACAATCTATTTTTAGAATAATTGGTTTCAATCATTTTAACGGATTGATAAAGGAATTTATTTGAAATTTACTTATACATCTTAACGGTTTACATTCTCACGATGTCAATCACGATGCTAGTCTTGATGCTCGCTAGTCACGATGCTCGCAAGTCACAATGCTCGCTAGTCACGATGCTCGCTTGTAACGATGCTCGCTAGTCACGATGCTCGCAGGTCACGATCCTCGCTAATCACGATGCTCGCTAGTCACGATAATCGGTAGTCACGATAATCGCTAGTCACGATGCTCGCTGAACACGATATTACAATGTTCCAATATTTTTACAATGTGCCACATATACTAGCTAGTCTAAAATGGAACATACATTATAATATGTAGTATTTCTAGTAAATGCAGATCCGCCATTGAGTGGTTGCAACCCTGCAATTTATTACATCTGTCAAACTATTTGTGCTGCATATTGTCTAGTCTGTAGTGGTGTAGCCCATATGGGGTACAACCCAATTAGGGTTTACTACTTGTACTCCTACATCCTGCTAGTTCATCCATTCCTGCTGCTAGATTCTAACATGTTTTCAGAGAACTAAGGTCCGTAGGACCGTTTTTTTTCGGGCCCACCTACCGCTGCGGTTACCGCGCTACCCCACGTACCTGCCTGCCTTGCCTTGCCTTGCCTTGTGACGTGCTGCACTATGCGCGCCGTCCAGCAGCCCTAGCGCTGCCTCCTGCTGCCCTAGGCCAGCGCGCTGCCCCTAGAGGCCCGTAAGGCCCGCGCGCCGCCCCTACACGCCCTTCAGGCCCGCGAACAGCCCCTGCAGACCGTTAGGCCCCTTGCTGCCGCGCGCTGCCCGCACCGAGCCGCGCGCAGCCCGCTGCTGCCGCGCGCTGCCCGCACCGAGCCCGCGCAGCCCGCACCGAGCCGCGCGCAGCCCGCTGCAACCGCGCGCAGCCCGCACCGAGCCCACGCAGCCCGCGCCGAGCCGCGCGCAGCCCGCACCGAGCCGCGCGCAGCCCGCTGCAGCCGCGCGCAGCCTGCACCGAGCCGCGCGCAGCCCGCTGCTGCCGCGCGCAGCCCGCGCCGAGCCCACGCAGCCCGCGTCGAGCCGCGCGCGGCCTGCTACGGCCTCGCGAGGCCCGCGCGCGGCCCGCAGCAGCCCGCGCCGAGCCGCGCGCGGCCTGCTACTGCCTCGCGCGGCCCGCGCGCGGCCCGCAGCAGCCCGCGCCGAGCCGCGCGCGGCCCGCTACTGCCTAGCGCGGCCGCGCGCGGCCTGCAGCAGCTTATCGTGCTGTCAGCGCAGCCCGCGCCGAGCCGCGCATGGCCTTCTGCCTCGGCCTTGACCTGCCGCTGATGCGGCCCCGCCCTGCAGCTGCCACGGCCCCGACCTGCCGCTGATGCGGCCCCGCCCTGCAGCTGCCACGGCCCCGACCTGCCGCTGACGCGGCCCCACCCTGCTACTGCCGCTGAAGCAGCCCCGCCCTGCAGCTGCTTCGGCCCTGCTCTGCAGCCGGTTTTGCGGCCCCGACGTCGCCGCTGTCGTGCGCCTACTCGGCCGCCGCCCGTCGAGCGCCGGCCCTGCTCGCCCGGTGAGCGCCTGCTCTCCCAGCCTTTGGTGAGCGCCTGCCTGCCTGCCTGCCGGCCTGCCTGTCTGCCTGCCTGCCTGGCTGCCTGGCTGCCTGGCTGCCTGGCTGCCTGCCTGCCTGCGCGCCTGCCTGCCTGCCTGCCGGCCTGCCTACTTGCATGCCGGCCTGCCTGTCTGTCTGCCTGCCTGCCTGCCTGTCTGCCTGCCGGCCTGCCTGCCTGTCGGCCTGCCTGCCTGCCTGCTTGCCTGCCTGCCTGCCGCGCCTGCCCTGCCCGCGCTACTGCTGCTGCTACTGCTACTGGCAGGTGGCCAGATGCAGCTCCAGCGACGTTCACGCGAGCCTCTCACGCCCCAGCAGCTTGATGAGTGGTATAGTAGCTGGGGTTGTCGCGGTAGCCGTCGTAGCTGTCGCCCTGGAGCTGGTCAGTTGGGAGCGTATGGCAGTGGCCAGCTGCAGCTGCAGCGGCGTCCACGCGAGACACTTACGCTCCAGCAGCTCCATGAGTGGTACGCTCAGTGTAGCAGGTCTACGCGTACAGTTCGCTGCCCGTACGTCATTCGCACAGGTGCTAGGACTGGTCAGCCTTGTGGGACGCTTGGTCACACACAGTCCCGCTGCTTCGCCCATCTGAGCGACGACTGGCGCACAGTGTTTGGCGACGAGGCTGAGCTCCCCACCTGGCTGGAGCTGCATAGACAGAGGGTAGATATCTTTGCGCTTAACTATGATGCTATTATCACTGCCATGTATGCATTGCCTACTAGTGCTGACCGTGCCTGTTACCTGTGCGTACCGCCTGACCCTGGTATAGAGCCTGCTGCTCTCGGTGCTGGTGAGGCTGCTACTCTAGGTGCTAGTGCGTCTCCTGCTCTAGGTGCTGGTGAGGCTGCTGCTCTCGGTGCTAGTACGTCTACTGCTCTAGGTACTGGTGAGGCCATGGCTTCAGGTGCTGGTGAGTCTGCTCTCTCTGGTACTGCGCCCACTGCGGTCTCGCACACCTTCACCCTTGACTCAAGAGCTTCTCGCTCCTTTTTTCGCGACTGCACCACACTCACGCCGCTTAATCGGCCAGTTCCAGTCTCCCTGGCGGACCCCTCTGGGGTGCCAGTCCTTGCCCACTACTCCACGGTTCTGCCGTGTCCGGCCGCCCCGTCCGGCTCG